ACACTGAAAGTAATTTTTCGTGCATCTGTGTCGATCCTTGTAAGTATGCCTAAATTTTGCATTGTAAAATACCTATTCATGTATTAATTAAGTTAAATATATGGCTCACGATATTGTTGTATAGTTTTATAAATATACACCGATTTAGATTTATTTTTTAGGGTTATTTTCTAAAATGTGTTTTAGGGCAGGTTGTCTCAGCTTAACGAGGGCTGGTAGTCACATGTGACAACCAATCCCATGCATGTCTGTTGGCTATTTTGTTGGCTTTTTGGAATTTTGCTACATAATAACGTACAAGCTTGCTGTCTCCAATAAGTTGAAAGTTCCACACTCTTGGGATTCAAACAAGCTAGCTGGTCCCGATTGGTTTACCTCGCTTATGAAGAGACATCCTTCTCTGTCCATTAGAAGACCTGAATCCACTAGTTTGCTCGAGCCACCAGTCTTAATCCACAAAATGTCAACAGTTTTTTTTTATAAAAACTTGAAATATGGAACATGGACGAAATTGTGGTGACTAAGATGCAAAAATTCCTCCGCCACAGCGAGCTGATAGAAGTCAGAAACCTTAATACATTTGCCAAAATTGTGAATTTGAATATCCAGACTGATTACTTAGATTGACTTCATATTATATCGTCCGCAATTTTATTTAAAAGTATAACATCCAAATAAATCAGTGCCTGTTTATGATTACATTTTTTGTTGTTTTCGTAACAACAATTCTAATTTTGTTAAATGGAAATTATGTTGTGTTAAATGGAATTGGTTGACTATTCTTCTTTTAATGAATATTTTCCATTCTTTTCTTGGATACCAGTTCAAGGTTCTATTTCTGATAAAAATAGATACTCATTTGATTTAAATAAGTGTTTTTTTTATATTTTCCTCCCTTGATTTACTATGTGACTACTTACCCCTGGCATTGTGACAACCATCCCTGACATGGGGTCAGAAGTCACACTTTTCCTTTTTCTCATAAATGTAATATTTCCTCAATGGATAAAGTTAATGTCAAAAAGTATGAATTTATTTTGAAACTAGATATACTATCCATTGAGATATAAATTTCAATGATTTGCTAAAAATATAGGCACTTAAAAATTCAAAATCCAAAAATGTGACTTCCAACCCCGGTCTCCCCTACGAGTCGCAATCGTGTACGAAGGGTTCCATACCATAATCTATAAAATAGGCAAAAAAATCACGTCAATCGTGTATGAGAGCCCCATTAAAAAAAACATTCTAATTTGTTTTATTTGTTGTTAAAGCGTCAAGAGAAATACATCATCTGAGAAAATTTCAACTGCCTAAATATCACAGTTTATGAGATACAGCCTGGTGACAGAGATCTGATTGATACAGATGCTAGCTGTCTAGCTTTGAACTTGCTAATCTCAGCGACTACTGCTTTGATTAGAAAAATTCTTGCACTGTTAGCTAGCTCATCTATTGAGGAAGGCTACTTTTAAGCACGATATAAAATGTAGAACATACGGGTCGAATCGTGGGCAAAAAGCTAGTGTACAATAAAATATCACTTTATATAGTTATATAATTAATTATATAATAATATATATAATTAATTATATATAAAAGTAAAGTAAAGTAACATACAAAAACATAGTAAAGTAGTATACATGTCCCACTGCTGGGCATAGGCCTCCTCTATACAGAGGGTATCAGGGCATAGTCCACCACGCGGCCCCACTGCGGATTGGCGGACTTCACATATTTTCGAAATATATTTTTTTGTTATTATTTCTAAAATATGCAGGTTTTCTCACGATGTTTTCCTTCACCGCGGAGCACGTGATAAGTCAGCACTTAAAGTTAAAAACTTCATTGCTGCCGGCACCGGGGATCGAACTCAGGTTGCTCGAGTATATTGAATTGAAGGCGAGCGCCCGGACACTGAGCTATCACGGCTCTCTATATATATAATTAATTATATAACTATATAAAGTGATATTTTATTGTTAAATTATTAAGTTATATTATTAATATCACTTTATACTATCATAGTTTTGCCTTCTGGGAAACAATTGCTATGGGTCACACAAATAATTGTCCCGTATAAGAATCGAATCCGCGCCGGCTTGACAACTGCGCCATGGTCAGTGATCAAGGCAGTGGTATTCGCGAAATAAACACAATTTTGTCTGAGCCACACTCAGTGACGATCTCAGATTGAATTATGTGCCTTTGTAGAGAAGTTACGTTTATGTGAAGTTAAGTTAATATGAACTTGAAAATGGAATCCATTGCACGATTTTACATCGACACTTCGCGGGATTTCATATGCAGAAAGGCCACTTGCAGTAATCGAACTTAAAAACTCAACCGGCAAATTTTTGCCGTGGTCACTGCTTGCAGTGAGCATAATGCGTTCACTTAACCAAGAATTATCCTAATATCATCAGGAAAATTCTTGGTTATGTGACCACTTTAAAGTTCTCCAAATACTGAACTTATCAGTTTGTTTTCGGAGAAAAGGATGGTACCAAGTATGTCCGGAAGACACACCTACCCATTTTTCTCTTAAAGAATATCCATTCTGCCTTCTCAAATTTTAACAGAACATCGGAAAATTCTTGGCCATATAAATGCAGTCCGCACGGTAATTGTCAACCGCAACTTATGTTTTTGAGACCAGAGGTAAGAACGCTTCTGTGGAGGCATTTATTTCTTTGCTTTAGCTCCCTGAGTATTGAGGGGAAGGGTTTCGAAAATCTCCAGGGAAAACAACGGTGACGGTTCCACATTGGCCCTTCATCTCGATTTACTGTACTGTAGTGTTCTGTCAACGGCCTCTACGGGTGCTCAGTCAAAATTCTCTCTCAGTTTACTTTACTTTAATGTCTAAAACCTATAATGCATTGTGTCTATGGCGAAATGGGTATCAGCACTAAGTCGTGTTTGGTTTTTATTAGATGATTAGATCCAATTTTTAATTTTCAATTAGATTCATTAGATGTTCAGATCCAATCGTTCTCATTATTTTTAATTCTATCGAGGCATTTTTTTTATTTCTTTATACTTTATGCACACAAAATATGTACAGAGGCGAACTTAATGCCACTAGCATTATCTACCAGTCAACCTTGAGTTGTCCAGAAAAGTTTAAGTCGGTGCAATGATAGTAAAATGAAAAAAAAAAAGGGTTCATTGAAAAATCAAATTTATTAGGAATATTGCAAAAAATAATATACTAGGCTTATGAAAAAAATTTACTTACTACCTATGTAATTGCAATATGTTCATACAGTAAAATAAACATATTTAAATACACAATACTAATATATAAATAAATATATGGAGATATTATTACACATACTTATATAATTAAGGATCCAGTGAACTTTCCTGAAGTTTCACGGTGGTAGGGCCACAGCAGCTTCGGCTGTTGCACGAATGGGCAGGCTAGTTCGGGTAAGTACCACGACCTCGCAGAAGACAGGCATAAAATGGAAATGTAATCCTTGCGCGTTTCGTCTGGAGAGTAAGGTGGCCGGAGCCCGATTTTCAAAAGGTTGTCAACGCATTTGGAACCCTCGGGTGTAGCAAATGTCTATGGGCGGTGGTATTCACTTAACATCAGGTGAACCGTCTGCTCGCTTGGCAACTTTTCACATAAAAAAAATCTGTCGACAATTTTTTAACCAGGTATTGGCGAATTTTTCTTTTAAATGCGATGAGACTCCTAGCCGTCCTGATTTCGAAAGGCAGCGCATTCCACAGAAGAATAGATTGGACACAGAAAAATGAATGCATAAAACCAGAACGATGAGAAGGACACTGGAGAAGGTCTTGTGTGCAGACTAGCACTAAAACTAAAAACATAACCTCAGAGCTATAAACATATCCATAAAAATTTGAGTCCGACCGAAACAAGTTCTTTGGTCGAAACCGAAAATTTAATTTGTACAGAGAAAATTCAAAACGAAGACTTGATGGCACGACTGATGCCCGTTTAACTCTTCTTCGTGGAATTCACGAAACAACACTGTGATGGAACATATAAAAACCTACCTATAAAATATTTTAGTTTGTAACCTATTATAATTCAGGTATCATGTATATGAAAATAAAGACCTCTCGAAAGTTAAGGCCTAGAAAGGCGTAGTAGTTTGACGTCATTTAAGCACTAATATAAAAAGGTTGGCATTATCAATGCGTACAGCGGAGCGGCTGCGTGGATAAAAACTGAACCAGTCTGTGAATCGACGATCAGTGAAAGCCGATCGAGGCAGACCTGCAGACACCAAACATTCAAGAGTTCGCCGTCATAGCTACACTAATATTACATATACGGTATAACAAAATGTTACCCTTCTCAACGTCCAAGTGTGCACGCTATTAACTTCTTTAACTTAAACACGCAAAGAATATAATAGCACAAAATCTCCTTCAAGCTATCAAATTGCCTATGCGCAATGGTGTTTTCACTCAACGAGTTCACCGTGATAAGAAACGATAATTGATGTTGGAAATTGATTGAGATATTTAATAATCGACCATTACTTTTTTACGAGCTAAGCACATGTGCAAGTTTTAAGATTTTTTGCATTAATTTCTTTAAACGGTATTTGATAATACAGTGTTTTAAAATAATACGCATTTTCTCTCAGAATCAGTGTTTTGCACATGTTTTTCTATTCAAAAGTGATCGTTTTTTACTAAATTTAATTGCGGCACTTATTGAGAAAGTGTAAAATTGGATAATAAATATGCGAAATAAGATGGATGAAACGATTTACAATAGAAAATTTCTTAATAGGGACTTGCCTAAAATGTGTGATCTGATGTGTCCTTACCGCCGAAACGAATTTAACGGGACAACTTTTCAAAAAAAACCAAAGCAACTTCGAAGACATGCTACGCAACTTAAAAAAAAACAAAACGCAGTTCTTTTACATTGTAACGGAAAATGCCAATGAATCCATTCGGTTGAATTCGTTTCTTTTACAGACGGATAAATATGAACGAGTTGCCGCATGCTAATCACATTAGATCGATTCAATTGCAAGTCCCGCCGCTCGGCCCGCGACTGGAACAGGACTTGGCGAGTGGCGGTGGGGAGTCCCGGGAGGCAAGTGGAGCGCGTGAGCGGGATGGGGCCCTCGTTATCAGAGGCGCGAGAGCCTAATCACTTTCGTTGCAACCCCGCAAGGAGGTCGGCGCGACTATCACGTCAGTCGTCCCCGCGCAGTGTGTGCGCGCAGGCGTGCGCCACACCGCTCGCCTCTGCCGCCGCCAATCCGCCGCCAGACCGCGCCACGCCACCGCCCGGCCGCAGCCGGGAATGGAGACCTGCGCCATCACAGCTGCCGAGGACCTTGTGGGCGACCAGGTACGACACCGGCGTCCAGCTGCCGCGCGGCCCTCCGCTTAGAAAGTGCCCCGGGCCCGCTGGTTTGATTTAGACGCGCTCAACGAGCGTTTATGTGTATTGACACGCTCCGTCGGCCCCGTTTGCACGCGTCGATCAAGTTCAGTGGATGTGCCCCGTTCAGTCCTGAAAGTGTGCGATTTTCCCGACGGCGGCATGGCACCGTGCCTGAAGGACGTCATGGCGAGCAATAGCCGGTCGCCAGTGATGCTACAACACAACAGAGAATACCAGTTTTACATGAGTTAAAGTATAGTAAAGCAATATTATAAATCAGAAACTGAGTGTTTAATAAGGCTAATTAAAATGCCACCGTACCTCATATGATTTTTTAGTTAAACTGTAGTTACTTCAAGAGGAAGCGCAAGATTTATTAGTATCCGCTAAATTGTATTTAATTTGTTATTGTTTAAAAATAGTTAATTTTAGTTTCATAAAAATGTATATTGAAAAATACAGTACTTATTTTAAATAAATTGCATAGCATTTTAATATATATCTTATATTATATGTTAAAAGATATATAACTTAAAAATGTATATGTTAACTAATTATTTTTATGTATATAAAGCTTATTAAATTGTATATTAATGCAAAAAATTAAGGCTTCCATTACTTATCTATTTCTAAATGTTTATCTGTTATCGTATGCCGGACACGCGCATTTAATTTAGACAGGTTTTGACAGAATTACACATGACAATAAGCATATGAAACTTCGCTTAGTGAAATATTTAAACTACAGGATGGTTTGAGCTTTGTTCATAACTAGCTGATATCCGAGCGCATAGAAAAGACATCAACGACAATTCCACTCATTTACTTTTTTCACTTCTAGGCATGCTTAAAATCGTACAAAAGAGATTGTGAAGAATTTATTAAAAAATATCTTTACATTTTGTAAGCCCCAAGAATAATTTTAAAAAGATATTAATTAACACTCTTTTTATTTCAAAATAAAACAAAGACATTAGAATTTACCTTTCATTTAAAGAAAATATATTTACATTTAATTTATTAATGTTTCTGACATTTTTTTTAAATATTTTCTTTCATTATCTACAAAAGACCTGTTCATTTTGAACGCAGAATCTTCAAAAAGTCATGGAGTAATCATGTGATTTTAAAAGCAATGTTATGAATACAGATTTTATACAGGTAATAAGAAAAAAAATGTTCAGAACAGACTGTTTACTTTCTATTTATATGTTGATATAATATTTATTTATTTTAATATTATATAAAAATTCAATTATATTATATTTATTCAAATATTTTTTTTATTATAAAACATAAAAAATAATATTATGGTATACCTAGAACAGTACTTGCTTATTTTTAGACATAAACAACAATGATATATTAAAAATCTCTTAGCAACTCCACTTCTTGTAATAGGCTAAAAACAAATCTTCTATTCTCAAAGATAAATAACGAAAGTACAGTTAACAAACAGGTAGAGTTGGATGATCATTTGTTGTTCATAACACACAGTTTGACGGTCTCAGATGAATCAAATTAGCATATTAGCTTTATGTATAAAATATATTCGATGTTAGGTTCATTTAACGATTTTTTTCCGTATGAATATAAATTATAAGCAGTTTAAATTTCATTGTTATTAGGCATATTTATGTTAGTGTCATCTATGACATAGCACCGGCTAAAAAGCATTTTAGCGAGCACACAGCTTCTATAGCGGTACGTTCGACACTTTATGCTAATGTGATCGTTTTAAAAATATGTTTATTAACTAGTCATAGCCAAATTAAAATAATAAAGCATGGACACACAAAAAATTAGAACATATAACCTAAATCTTCTTATTTAAGGGCATATTATTAGATCATTTGGCCTTCAGTTTAAAAAGCAACAGCTTACGTGATCAAAATGTCACGTTCGAAAATTTAACATCTTTCCATCATCAAATATTTCTTCAAAGGAATAAACATTTGATAATATATTACTCGTATTTTAGGGTTAAGTTTATTTTTAAACTTAGGTAAAAAAAATAGCTTTACCGTCTCCTTCCAAAAGTTTGACAAAAACGTTTATCTATAAACCTTTTTAAAACCACCTTTTATTGGAAGTTTTGTAAAGCTTAGCCCGGGTCAATTATGTTTAGCAATATAGCGTATTCAGATATCCTCCAGGATATTTCATAATATTAAAATGTTTGAACAGATTGTCCCGGGTGGCGGCCGCTGGGGCTCTTCTCACCCCACCGGCATCCTCGACTCCTGGTTTCAGATGCAGGTGAGCTAATTGCTAATTTTATTAATTTCTTTTATATTACTTACATAAGTGATGCGCTTAACGAAAAAATACTCAAAAACTAAATACAAGGTGACTTTTCTATACTCAAAAAACTTATTAGCTGTGAGATTTCAAAATAAATCGCACCGCGGTTCAGTATCTCATCGCATCATTGGATATAAAGTGCAATGGTACATTTAGTTTATACATGGCCCAAAAAATACATCAACAAATTATTGTCAAGAACGTAATTCGTAGCAAATATTCAATATGTGACTGGCAGGGAACTGACAGCCGCGCAGTGCCAGAATGACAATATCTATGTTGCATATACGACAAACTTATAACTTACGACTCGAATTATCAAGCTTTAATACTTTGTACCTTAATCCATGGAATTAAAAATTGTGTTTGGGTTTTTAAATGTAATACTACTCTGGTGGCGGTGTCAACTAATTCGTATGCTACATGCTATGATGACATTGTCACGTACCAGCAACATACGAGTGTATACATAAACTATGCTATATGACATACTGTCTATTTGAAGGGTTTGACAATAACAATTTGAAATTGAGACGAGGCTGTCAGAATAGTTGACAAATAAACATCGAGAGAAAATTATTATACCTCTTTTTTAGTGAAATGGACATGAAATCCTACTTAGAGTTATATATATTATAAGATAGAAACCCATAGTGTGAAAGTGAAAATGATTTGCTTCAATAAATTGCTTCTTTGAATTGCTTTAATGTTTTAACTTCCTGTTGTTTAGCAAATTCTACATATTTAAAAGACTAATGCCTATATTACTACTATGACGACTAATACGACTATGCGACATAAGTAGCCTTCTAGTTTCTGGTTTTTATATTGCAGTTTTAGTGAAATAGAAAATCATCTAACATAAAAGATAATGAGAATGTTATTAAATAGTAAGAAAATTCATCGTAATAAATCTGATGTTAATTTACATAAGTTTTCCCGGTTTTTTTATGAAACCGCAAAAACGTTTTTCGATATCGATGTTTTTTGTGAGTTATGTGTAAAATCATAGTTATTGAACATTTCACGAGATACTTACGTTTTTATTACAGAAAAACATTAATATTACAAAAAAAAGCCTAAGTTATTTATCCTTTACTTTTCATATAGACCAGGACCACACTTCGTTACTCCTATGAATGAATCTTTTATCATTTAACACCTTTAAAAATTTTCTCTGAAGTTTTTGTGATGGTAGAAGTAATGGGAAATAATATTTATATATTTCATAAAATTTCTCATCAAATTGGATAATTTTGTACAGGCAGACAGACATTTAAGGATTTAAATGTCTCTCTGCGGTACTGCACACTGTTTTTACTGTATTAGACGTAACAGCTTCTGGTTTTGCACTAATGGAATATCTCGTCTGGGGAAGTACAAAACTGGACTCACACCAGTGTGAAATAGTAGTGTTACTTCTGCGTTTCGTGTAGTGAGTGGGGTTCATTTCTTTGATTGTTAGAACGCTATCGGCATCCCTAAAGAAGTTGTAGATGCTTATGGGAGCTGGTTACCATTACATCAGGTAAACTGTAGGGTCTCTTACAAACTTCTGTCCTAAAATATAATAGAATCACGTTATTTGTTTCGGAGCTTGAGGAATAATTTTACAATTATTAATTTAACACAGCGTTTGCATCCGAATTCTTCCTTGGCAACAAATTACACGATTTATAAGAGTAGCGCCACGTTGCAATTTTTTGTATGTTTATAAGCGCTAATTTTTTTTGTATATTCGTAGGCATGGACATTTGCATCAGGGTTTCTATAGCAAACTGTAAAAGTCGCAATTACATCACTAACAGAGGTTAATCAAAAATATTTCCACATCACTCCAGTTTTCCGTGATATCGTGGCAATACCTCGGACGAGGCGCCCATTTGCGAAGCAGCAGCAGTTGCATGGAGTTCCTACCGTAGTCAGATTTAGTATTGTTTGAAACCTTCGTCAACCTTTATAGATCTCTGATTTCTACCGGACCCTGCTCACAACCCAATTTTACGGTTGAAGTGCACAGTCCATTAGGCCCCGTCCTGCATGAAAGCACGAATATTGGAGAGATTATGTGCATCGAAACAATTTACACACGGTACATGACGTGTGGACCTACCATTGTTGGTGGTCGAGTGCCGTGTCCCACGTGGGAATCGGCTACTGAGCGATTTCGCGGCAAAAAATCCGTGTCTGTTTATGAACATTAAAATATTCACCCGTTTCAGTCGTTCGATATACGAACAATAGCACTAACATTTAACACTAAACCGTAGGTTGAAGCAACTATTTCTTTTGTTTTAATTGTTGTACGTGTAATCGGCCTTACTTTCAGCTATCCTTCTCTATTTCCATTTTTCTTCGTAAGCTTTATTGTTTATGAATTTCGGTACGTACTACAACGTATAAAAATATTTACAGAGATTTGCAGTTATGCTATTATTTTATTGAAGGGTAGTGATAATATTAAGTATTATGAAGTTCGTACACAGACTGTGAAAAGCCCTTTTAAGTTCAGGATAAACTAAAAAGGGTATGTATGTTTTGTTTAGTATTATGATTAACTTTATTATACCTCAGATGATACCCTAAATTGTTTGTAAGATCAATATTATATTATACCTGTACTTCGAAGATGCACTCAGATCTGAATGGTGTAGAGAGATCTAATTATAGCTACGAAATATAATATAATATGGTACTAGATCTGCCGACAGAACGGGCGTAAAATAATATTAGACGCATCATTACACCCGCGTTCACTGTGACATAGGCTATTGTTCCCTTCACTATTCCTGCTGCTCAATGATTTGGCCCCATCTGGTTTTAATAGTATATGTGTATGAGATGAAATATGGATACTTATTTAAAACTATGTATAATTTTAAACCTCTCACGTCGGTGATGTTTGTAATGTAATTATGAGAATTAACGCGGGCACTGTAAATTGATGTCAATTCATTATTGTGCAGTGCAGATTTTCTGAACGACCCTAACACGTATTTTGCTTTCGTCGTACAAAATTGTATTTTGTACATTTTTATGTAAATTACCGTTTCATTTTGCGCAAGAAGGTAACAAACTTATTCAACATTTATTTTATGCTAGCGGATGAATGTGCAAGAATCTATAAAATGTATTATGAGGTTCTGAAAGTGTTCTAATTCAAATTTTCTGATATGTTAAAATTTAAATTATTTATTATTTTATGGATTATTTTGCGATAAATATTGTATAATAAAAATATTGTATATCACCTATGACATAAAAATATGTTATTTGAAATAGCTTTCATTTTATAATAGTTATACCAAAGAAACTTTTATATTGATTTATTATTTTGGTAGTAATAATAGCCAACTTGTTAGAAGACAGTAAACATTATTATAAACGTTATTTGTATAATTCAAAGAGCGATCCATAGTTAAGATTGGTGAATACAAACATTAAATGCATAGCTGTTTGAAATTTACTTTACTCGGTGGTCTCAGCAATACAATAAGTATAAAGCGCTTTAACGGAATTAGTTTGATATCACGAACATTACTCCGCACTGTTATTCACCCTCAGTATCAATTAACATTGCACACTCCAGTGGCTTTACTCAGTTGCGTAAGCGCATACGTATATGAGATACATATAAAAGGGCGGGGGTGAATGAGGTGAGGGAGGAGGACAGTGACAGGATTCACGGTCCAACTGACGAACACAATGATCGTGCTCAATACGTGATCGATTATTTCTGTACGTTACGTATGCACGTATAGACGTAATGTTCGTGTTTTGTTCGTGGAGATTCATTTCACGTTATTCCGCTTGTTGAACGGTCGATAACTTGGGGATATTAAAAATTTATTGAACATTTCACAATTGATCGCCATTAAAACATATTTACTACAAGTCTTAAATTGTAGAATTCTTGGATTTTGTCAAAAATCACAATGAAACCTGACCTTATACCCTGATTGTCATGAAAATATTTATATTTAGTACGAATTGCGACAACGTTAGGTACTTTGTATATGAACGTACCTAAAATAGTTTGTTTCATTGATAATGCAAGAATCGGCGAACATATAATATCAGCGTGACCAAACAAAGATTTGCGCCTGTAGTAAACGCGTAAGTGTGTCGTCAGAAACTTATCGCCGCCTATCAATAAGTAAACTGTAAAATATCGAAATTCTTTAGACCGTGTTACCACTTACCCCGCCGCCGTGGCGTGGGCCTAACGGACATATTATCTATTTGTTCTAACGATTTCATTACTCATGTGAAGAAAACGTAAATATTAGACACGTAAAACGTAAATTTAGCCTACGATAGTATTTTCCGTTGCAAAGATCGTAAGTCAGGTAGGCAAAGTCTGATAATAAATAAAACTCGTGAGCCGGAACAACGTGGTTGAGAGGTTTTTCTTATTTGGAATCGCTTTATTTGTGCCCGTTGCAATCACATCATATTAGTGACAGATGCTAAATAATCCATCATTGGAGAAACTGAAGAAGGCGGGCGTTACAGTATATTGTACTTTATTTATAGTTATTCCACATGACCGAAAGATATTCAATATACTTATATCAAATTGTTCATCATTAAATTTATCTATCCAATCAGCATCACCGCAGCAGTGGGACTGGCAGACCTCATTTTCATATCATCATTTTCGGTCTACCTGTGTCATAATTAATAACTTATTGTAATACGGTGTATAAAAGAACAATATAGTCCCACTATCGAATGATGGTCAGAGCCTTAATCACTGTCTTTACCTTGTATCTACCTCCAATATTTCCTTTAGCTAGGTGCATGATCAAATTTTAACTTGCTTAGCGCGGTCCGTATCCAGTTATGCAATATTTGTAAAAATAAAATCTAGAAAATTCAAATTGTTTTCGATTTTTAATAAGTTGTCGATATTAAAAATCTAATATTTTTTTAATTAAATTGGATTCTAATATC